AACACCTAACAGGAGATCTATCCTCTTACCACATTTTTAAGTGCACAATACAGTACTGTTAACAATAGTGCATTGTGCAGATCTCTAGAACTTATCCACCTTGCATACCTAAAATTTTATACCCGTTATTTAGCAACTCCTTCTTTCCCCTGGCAACTGCCATTCTATGCCTGCTTCTTTGAATCTGACTATTTTAGTTACCTCATATAAGTGGAATCAGGCAGTATTTGTCCTTCTGTGACTATTTCAGTTAGCATGATGTCCTCAAGGTGCATTCATGTTGCCACATATGGCAGAATTTTTTTCCTTTTTAAGGTTGAATAATATTTCACAGAACAGTGTCTGACGCATAATAGACACTCAACATATGATGGTAATTTTGATAATTCGCGGAGAACTGACACAAATGAAATGACAATAAACTCCATCTGCCAGATTATCTGATGAAACTGATAATGCTAATACTATTACGGACTTCAAGTTTTGGGTGATGGAAGTCTAGATTGTTCAGACCAAACTTCCCACTGAAAACTACTGAAAATGCTGAATCAATATATTTATAATTTTTTCCCAGAGCAACAAAGAGGTAACAAGACTATAAGAAATTACCAGTACAAATTTGATAGATAAGAACCAGTGAGTTAAGTGAGCACAGAAGTTGTGTTTGTCCTGAGAGCATTTGCCAATCCCAGCAAGTCTGAATTTATGATTTAATGATCCTGCAAGATGAGGAAGCAGAAATCAAAGTCTAGGACCTGAACAATGTAACTATTTTAATGGGAGATCCTCCTCATGCTAGGCTGATATCCCGAAGGAATCACCAACAGGGTAGTGGTGAACTAGAAATAATCCAAGCCCAGGATTCTTAATGCCTAGAGGAGGGGGGATAGGAGGGGCCAAGAGAAACTCAGACATGATCTTTGGATAAAGCGGGCCTAGATTGATAGTCCCCCCCCCCCAGGTGCCTGCCAGAAGCAAACAGAAACATTAAGCATCAATTTATTCCTATATGTAAACTTTTGATTATGATAACAAGTATATGAAGACATTCAAGGAATTGAAACATCATGAGAACCACTAGAAAAAGACAACAGAAATAGACCCAGAAAGACATTATATATCTGAATTATTAGTCATAGACTATAAAAGAGCCTTTTTACTAAAAACCTAAAAGATAACATTGACAATGCATGCAGGAAATACAAAGTTCCAGAGCAAATCTGAAAAAGTCAAATAGAACTTCCAGAGTCAAGAAATACAAGAA